TGTGCACCTGGTTACGTGGTGCGGCTCCGAGGACCTCGGCCTCTTCGTCGGGGGCTCCGAGATCTCCGCCCAGCAGTGGGCCAGCGCGAGCGCGGTCGTCGCGGTCGCCGCCGCGCTCTGGCACAGGCTCCCGGGCGGGGAGGGCGCGCGCATCCGCGAGACCGAGGTCTACGCCGCAGGCGCCAAGAGACGCATCTAGACCCCCCGCCGCAAGCGCCGCGAGACGCAGGCCGAGGAGGACAAGGCAGCTTTCGAGGCCGAGAAGACCAAGCGCTTGGCGGAGCACCCTGGCCAGAAGGAGCAAGTGGACCAGGCCCATTCGAGCGCAGGGGGCAAGCACAGGACCACCCTCATCAACATCCCCGCAGTCGAGGGCTGGCTCGATCCGAACAGGGGGCCCAAGTCCGCCAAGAAGCCAGGCGCGCCCCTCGCCCCCAGCGAAGGCACTGCGGAGTGAGCGGCATGAGCCTCGAGGGGGGTACCTGGCGGCGCGACGTCGCCAATGCGAGCGGGGCGACGGCGAGACGGAGCGCTTCCGAGCAGGCGAGCCCCTGGGAGAACCGCTCAAGGGCAGGCGCAACGCATTGCTCGAGTCCTCCGAGGAGGAACGCGCGGGGTCTTCGAGGCCATCGACGCGTGGGGGCAGCCAAGGGCCTGGACGGACGAGCTCGTCGCTTCCTGGACCATGGCTTCATCAAGTAGCAGCGCGGCCAGAGACTCGCTGTCGCAGACTGCCTCTCGAGCCAGTGGGCCGAGGCAGTGGCGCTCCGAGCGTGGCTCCAGAATGTGGCCCACGCGCCGGCGGCCCCCGACGTTGCGAGCTTCTTGCGCGAGCCGGGCACCTTCAGCGCAGCCAGCTCAAGGCCATGATCCGAGAGGTCAAGGCCGAGATGCACTGGGCCAAGGGGCATGGCTGGATCCAGATGGCCAAGGCCGAGCCCCAGACGCAGCGCAACCATCCAACCGAATGGGGGCCCTACGAGCGCCTCCACTGCGTCTCCGAGGCCTACACCCGCTGCCGCGAGGAGAACTCGGGCGCGGCGCCGCTCCAAGGGCTGGAAGCGAACCAAATGCTCGCGGCCCGGCCGACAGAGCAGGGCGAGCTCAAGCTCGTCGCGGGCATGGAGCCGTGAAGCTACTGCATCGAGCTTGGCCGCGGCATCGCGCTGAGCCTGCGAGCGAGCGCCTGGGCGGCGCGCAGAGGTGGCCCGAGGGCGTTCCGCCCGTGCCCGAGTGGGCGCCCTCGACGGGAATTGCTTCCACCAAGAACCCCCCCTCCCCCCCCCCCCCCCCCCCCCCCCCCCCCCCCCCCCCCCCAACAAATTAAGAGTTTCAAATGGGAAACTCAAAATCCCAGACAACCCGAGACAATCCCAAACACAAAACTCAAACACAGAAGACACTACAGAACATGTTGAAGCCGAAACCTGGGGAAAACACAGTTTTTCATAGTAAAGTGTTTCCATCGTTTTTCATGTTATTGCGTGTTTTCAACGTTGTCAAGCGCCTTGTTGTTTTGTTTATGTTTGTTTGGGGTTTGTGACTCGTTTTTGTAAAGTTTTCAGCCGTTTAGAGATTGTTTCACGATTTTCATAGAGTTTCTTAAAATTTGTTTCAGAGTTTGTCCGGAGATTGTCCATCGCTGTTTTGTATCCAGAGTGTATTTCGCAGGTTTTGGCTTAGAGATTTTCTGGAGTTGTTGTTTGGTTTGAGTGTGTTCCCCATGTTTAAGCTTCAGGTGATTCTATGCTTGTTTTTTTTTGTTCGCAGGTTCGGTGTGTGTGTGTGTGTGCGTGTGTGTGTGTGTGTGTTTTGTTGATTTGTTGTTATTTTTCTTTTTTATCAGGATGTCGGCCTCCCCAGGTTTTGTTTTCAATATTTCCTTGTGCTTTTTTGGGGGGGTGGGTGGGTTTTTTTTGGCCCGAAGTGGTCGTGGACCGTCTGTAGTCGAGACTCGCGAACCGCATCCTGGAGCATCGAGAACTGGACCGCGAGGGCGCCGACGAGCAAGGGGGGCATGCTCAGAAAACCAGAAGAGCGGATCAAGGGCATCCAGTTCCCGCGCGCCTCGAGGGCCGAATCGAGCAGGAACGAGCAGTAGCTCGCAAGAGCAGCTGGGCGCCCAGAGTCTCGGGCCAGTTCCTGGGCAAGCGGCAGCGCGAGTGGCAGCGCGCGAAGGCCGAGGCTGGCGGCGAGGCCTCGCTCGAGCCGCGGCGTGGCCAAGGCAGAGCTCACAGGCAGGCCGCCGAAGGCCAAGGCGAGCTCCTCCCAGAAGTTCAAGGCCAAGACGCAAGCAGGGAGGCACGCCGAGAGACAAGCGGAGGCCAGGAAGAAAACAAGCCTCGAGGATTGCGAGGGCCCCCCTGGCACGGCAAGGCGGCCTGCGTCACCGAGGAGGGGGTCCACGAGGGCGGGCGCGACGGAGTGCGGGGCGTCTGGCGAGTCATGGGCGCCGAGGACGCGCGCCGCCCGCGCGTCCTCGAGGTGGAGATCTCGGCAATCTTCCAGAGCGACAGCGGCGAGGCTCCGTGGCTCACGGGCACTCGTTAGCTTCCGCCTGCCCCCGACTGAAGCGGCGGAAGCCAAGCGACGGCGGAAGCCGCGACGCGGAAGCAGGCGGAAGCCGACGAGTGTATGCGAATCCCGAGCGCCACAGGTCACGATCGAGCAGGACTACAAGTTCCCCAGGCCGCGCAAGCTCGACTGGCGCCAGACCAGACTGACTCGCCGCACCGAGCTCGCCAAGGGGTGCGCGATCATGAACTGCGAGCAGATCGTCAAGGGCGACCCCCTCGAGCTAAGCACAGTGCGCGCGCTGCTGCGCGAGATCGAGGAGCGCGCGGGCGCCCCCGAGGCCGTTCTGGCGGTCGAGCCCACGGCGGCCGTCGCCCGGGCTCGACAGGGCCAGGGCGAGGACGACCTCGTCGCCCAGCGGCCCGGGGAACACGAGCGCCGGGCCGAGAGAGTCCACCAGGCGCATGGCCGAGCACGTCCTGATCTGCGCGCGCTCCGAGGCGCCCGCGCCATGCACCTACCTCAAGGTCGGTGGTTGCAACTGTTGCCCCGCCCTCAAGGTGCCTCCAGCTGTTCGCGCCCTGGGGGCGCCCCAGGCAGGGGGCGCTTGTAGCGGCGCCCGCCAAGGTCTCGAATATCGGCGGGGGCGTCGCGGCGGAGTGCCGCGGCGCCCTCAAGCAGCCGCCCGAGAACGCCAAGCAGGCCTACAGGGCCACATGCGAACTCACACCTGCGCCCTGCGATTTCTGAAGGGGGGGTCGCTTTGCTCGGGGGCTGCCGAGCGAAGCGAAACCCGCCCTCATCAAGAGTCGCGGCCAGAGTTCGCATGTGGCCGCCCAAAGCCGCCGCGAGGATCCCCGGCAAGCTCGGCGCCAGAGCCCCTGGCGAGAATTGCCCTGCGAGGAGCAACGAGATGTCCCCGGCCGACGCCTGGCCCCGCGGCTTGTGGACGAGTCGCTGGATCGAGCGCGCCCTGCGCGAGATCCGAGGCGAGGGCCGCAAAGCGCCCGCGAGCATAAGCACAATGTGCGCCCGAGGCAGCGAGTGGATCAACAGGCTCAATGGGGGCCAGCAACAACGACGCGGCCAAGGCCAAGGCCAACAGCAAGGCCAAGTCCAAGCCCTTCAAGGGCCCCGCGGCGGTCGAGCCGGAGCACGCCACCTTCGAGAAGGCAAGCGCTGCCGCCCAGGCCAGCGCCAAGTGCCTCCCTCGCAAGGGCGGCTCCAAAGGGTGCCGAGCCCGCATGGGCAATCCGTCCGAGGTCGTCTGCAAGAGAGGTTTCTTGGCCAGGAGCGCCAAAAACTTCTATTGCGCAGGCAAGTTGCAGCCACGAGCCTCGAGATCTCTCGAGTCAGTCTTGCGCCAAGATCTACAAGGTCACTCTACACGAGCGCCCAGGATCATCATTATCATCGTCATCGCCATCATCATAACATCACGCTCGCCTGTAAAATCGTTGATCCTCCCCGCCAGCCCCCCGAACTTTATTGCCCCTGGGGATTCTGATTGGTGGCGATCCGTTATTCTGACCCGAGACCCCTTCCCCCCCTTTCAGGTGTTATTGTTGAAGATCTGGTCGCCTCGGCGATCCGACCCGTTTCGGATTCGTGGTCCGTTGTCCTTGTTCGTGGTATTCGGACAATGGTTTGCCCCGCGTCCTCGGGCTCTTTGGGACTCATTTTGCGTGCGCGAGTCAGGGCGCCGCTCGCAGTGAACAGCGGCTGAGCAAAGACAGTTTGGAGCTCCCCCCCTGGAGGGGTCCGTCGCTCACTCGCTTGCGTCGCGCACGATAGGTCACGCACGGTGTGGGTTCGCTCAAGGTTCACTCTATGTGGTCTCGGTTGCAAACGAAACGTTCGGCCCGATGCGGCGCCGCCGCCTCCTCCTCTTCCCCCTCCTCCCAGGAGGAGGAGGATGAGGAGGAGGAACAGGAGGAGGAGGAGGAGGAGGATAATGAGGAGGAGGAGGAGGAGGAGGAGGAGGAGGAAGAGAAGGAGGAGGAGGGGGGGGGGACGAACTATAGCCCCTGAGGGGCTGCAACCCCTGGGGCGTCAGGACGAACTTCATGCCATCATCAGCCAGCAGGGGAGGATGGTGGGGATGGAGAATTCAGGAGGGGGAGGGGGTGGGCATGGACGAGTAGGCTGCGTGAACATACACTTTCGGCGGCCCCTTTTCGGAATTGATGTATCGGCGCCAAGCGCCCCTGACGCCGCACCCACCGCGTTCCGCGCGCCAAGGGGGGTTGGCCCAGCGCCGATCCAATAAACACGCCCATATCAAGGGCCGAGAATCGTGGATCAAGGGCCGAGGGGCTTGAGGGATGAGAGTCGGGGATCATGGGTCGACAGCATCCAGGATCGAGGGGACCAAGTGTCGAGAGACTCGGAGATCAAGTCGAGGGGTCGAGGGGTCGGGAATCGGGAATCGAGGCGTCGGGCATCGGGGATCGAAGGAGGCGGGATGGTTGTGCCCACGCCCCGAGGACGCCCACCAGGCGGGCCTCTTCCGCGCCGCCGTGCACGGCCGGCGCCTCCCGGGCAGGAACAGCTCTAAGGCCCGCCCCCCCCCCCACCCTCTGTCGAGGAAGCGCCAGCATGGTCCTCCTCGTCGTCCTTCTCGTTCCACTCTCGCCATCCTCCTCGTCGTCGTCCTCCTCCTCCTCCTCCTCCTCCTCCTCCTCCTCCTCCACGAACGCCTTGCGGCCAGCGCCGTCGGCCCGACGACGACGATGACGACGACGCCGACGGGGTCGACGACGACGACGACAACGACCATGACGACCACGACCACGACGACGGGCGACGAGGACGAGGCCGAGGACGGGGACGAGGACAAGGACGAGGAGGACGGGGACGAGTACGGGGCCGACGTCGACGACGTCGACGGACGATGACGTGAGCGGATGGCACATGAGAATGGAGGTTGCTGCGTGGGCGGCTTGCTGGTTATAGCGAACCTGGGGAGCCTTGGACACCCTTTCAATTCCTTCTTTCGCGTCGACTAGCGTCGACCAGCTGCTGCCATTCGATGATGTATTACCGATCTAGCCTTGATTAGCGTCGATGTAGCGTCGACCCGCGTCGACCAGCATCGATTTGCAAGAGCCAGCATGATGGTATTGGAGGCTCACGCGAATTGCCGCAGAAGATTATTACTGTCTGCTTCTGCAGTGGGTAAATCGCCTGTTCCACCACTCCGGAGGAGCGTGACGGCTCGCCAGCTCTGCGGTCGGTCCACGCAGGCTCCCCGTCCCGCCAGCCTTAACTGCGGCTTCCGAACTGGTAGTCCAGGGCTTTGGTTGCACATGTTGATGATTCATCGACGCCACCCCAGCTTACTTATATACATAGAACGGCACACTAGGCTCGGGGGCCGGGGGCCGGAGCCTCGACCACAAATGTGGGGCCCGGGGCCGGGGTCCGCCTCTGGGAGGCCTAAATCGCCCTGGGGAGCCCTCAGACAGCAATCCCGGCGGCCCCAGACGGTCTCGAGACACCCCCAAGATGCCGTCCAGGGGTCTCTGGCGACGCGCGATGCGTTTTAAGCTGCCCCAGAGGCCCCCAAGACGCCCTAAGAGGCCTTTAAGATGCCGCGCAAGAGCGCCCCGAGAGAGCAAAATCGTTGGTTTTGATGTGTTGTTCTTGATATTTGTTTGCATTCTCGCTGTTTCGTGTTTCCAGCGCTAAAACATCGCCCGAGAGGCTCCCTAAACCGCTCCAAGACGGCCCAAGAGGCCACCAAGAGAGCCCCAAGACGGCCCGAGAGAGCCCCGAGACGGCCCCAGAGCCGCCCAAGACGGCGCAAGAGGGTCCCAAGAAGGCCCACAAGGAGCCCAAGAGAGGGAACGCGAATCGAAAAATCAAGCTCTCCGCCCCAAGATGCCCCCAAGAGGTCCCAAGAGGCCCCCAGGAAGCCCCCAAGAGGCCCCAAGAGGCCCCCAAGAGGCCCCAAGATGCATCCAAGAAGCCCAAAAGAGGCTCCAAGAGGCCCCAAGACCGCACCCAAAGGCTTCACAACTTTTTCTAGGAGGCTCCCGAAGACATGCCAAGGGGGTCCCATGACGACTTCAAGAAGCAGTCCAGGATGCTCCGAGGAGGCCCCGAGAAGCTCGGTAGAACTTGAGCGCGCGCGAAGCGCGCGCGATGGCTCTAGTACTATATGTGCGTCGCCCCCCCAGAGGCGACGCGCGCACCAAGAAATCTCATCGTATTTGCGTCGTGGCGGGCGCTTTCTGGCCACACCGCTCGGGAAACGATATACTACACGATGGGTATACTATATGTTCGGGTCGGACGCGCGCCTCCAAGGAAAACATCCAGTATTAGTGATTATGTCTCTGTACGTCCCAATTTTGATTGTTTTTGCACACTGGTTCTACCACCATCGCCCCAGTCATCATTTCGGAAATTTGAAATTAAGCCTGACGAAGAGGCGTAAACAGCGCCGGAGCAAGGAAATGAGGAGGGTTGGGGGGGGTGGAACATGCATGAACATGGACATGTGCTCAGGTATGCTGCGGCACATTGTGCACTGCAGATGCCCATTGTCGTCTTGGTCATCCGCGCCTACGCTGGAGAGCATTAAGGAGAAGCAATTAAGGACCCCCCCCGGCGTTATCATTAGCACCGCGCCGTAATTAAATAATTATTTGGGGGGGGGTTCGCCGAGCGATATTATTAGCACCGCGCAAATGGAAGGAAAATGAATAATTCCAGCGCCCCGCCTCGGGTGGCATCCCAATTAGAATTGTAATGAGAATAAGAATGCGAATACGAATAAGGAACAGCTGAGAAAAGCTAAGGAAAAGCTTAGAAAAGCTAAGAAAAAGCTGAGAAAAGCTGAGGAAAGCTAAGGAAAGGCTAAGATACCCCCTCCTGGTGCCAGGATGACGCTTCCGGGTGCCGGGTGCGTTATCCTTTCACCGGAGAGGGGGGGGGTCCTTAATCGCTTACTGGGTTAGCGGATGCGTGAACGTGAATTCAGGCGCAGAAGTCCTTGAGACCTTGGCGTCAATTTTTCAAAGGCCGGGTGCTTTCGCCGTTCGTCGGGCCCTGGGACCCTCACAGATCGATCCAGCTCGAAAGATGGCACAGAAAGATGGCACAGAAAGATGGCTCCGGTTGTGATTTCCCACGATGTTTGCATTTTCGTTTGCAGCGTCAAATCTCAAGTAAAGCGCGTGGATTAACGACGGGCCCCGTCTACGTACAGAATCCGCGCCCTTTGTCGCCAAAATAGGCGGCGTTGGCTTCATGTTCGACCGCGATTTGTGTTAGTGCGCATCCGAACCTGGTTTGCCGCAGCGCCGTCGTCGTCGCTAGCCGCCGCCGTTTTCGTCGGCCCCCGGTCCGCTGTCTGAAGGCTCAGAGCATGACATGGTACCCGGTACTGCTGCCTGCAGGCTCCTCGTCACCACGACTGGATTCGCTTCGAAAAACTCTGGTCGGAACGTTCCCCTGGGGTCTGGGGACTGGTCGGAACATTCCCCTGGGGTCTGGGGAGCAGCGGTATCGTTTCCTCTTGGGTTTCCCCAGTTTTAAGTCGGGCCTGTCCCCCTACAGGGGGATTTTCGACGAAAAATAGAAAATACTCAAAAAGAGTCAAAGCATACTCCAGAAATAGTCTGGGGACTATTTTTTGAGTATTGTTTGACTTTTTTGTGGCTTTTTTGGCGTATGTTTTTAATTTTCAGTCGAAAATTCGCCTGTAGGGGGACACGACCGACTTAACCCCAGTTCTCTTCGGTCCCAGTTCGCCGTCTCGAGGCGGCGGCTCGGGTGGGGTCGACGACCAGGACGACGACGACCACGAAGCCTACGACGACACTCATCGAAGACGACGACGACCAGGACGACGACGACCACGAAGCCTACGACGACCACGAAGCCTGCGACGACGACCACGAAGCCTACGACGACGACGCCCAGAAACAGACACTCCCGGAGCTCTGTGCGGATTTCGTGGCCTGGCGCCCGGGGTCCCCTGGCGGCTCCTCTGGCGCCGCCCTCGGCCGTGCAATGCACCCTTGGAAGGCGCCCCCCTGGGGTCCACGGCGAAGACTGCGACGGCGACGACGGCGACGACGACGACGACGGCGGCGGCGGCGGCTGCGGCGGCCGGGGGGGGACGGCGCAGACGCCTCGTCGCCCCCGGGCCGCCCTCGCAGCCGCGGTGCCCCGTCTTTCGCCGTCCCCCGGCCCCGTCGCCTTCGTCCCCGCCGCCGCCGCTGCCGTCGTCGTCGTAGTCTCGTAGTCGCCCGCCACCGCCATCGTGGTCCTCGCAGTCATCGACGTCGCTCCCTCCTCCGCTCCCTCCCTGCCCTCCTTTCCCCTCTCCGACGACACGGGCGGAATGGGGGAGGAGGGGGCGAGGGACGAATGGTTCTAGGCCTCCCAGATGGGGTCGGAGTAGATGGGGTCGGATGATGGCGCCGCATTGCCGATGCATCGCCGATGCGCCTCGACGTGGAGCCCGATTTGCTTCACGCCGACGTCGCCGATGCATCCCCCGTGCCGACGATGCAACGTTGCTGCACCGCCGATGTACCGCCGATGCATCGCCGATACATCGGCGGTGCATCGGCGATGCGGCGCGATCCTCCGACCCCACCTACTCCGACCCCACCTAGGAGTCGGGGGTGGACAGACCTCATACCCGATTAGCGAATTGTCCGTTTTCGGTTCTCGAGAGGGCGCCGCGGCCGTCATTTTCCAGGTTTGCGCCCGCCAGGTTTGGGCCCCACGTCGGTTTCACGAAACCACGTTTTGCTAAAGGGGGTTTTGTCCATCCCCGAAGGAGGCCTCGAATGGTGGAGCTCGAAGGCCCTCAGCGTGGACGTCGCCGACTCCCACATCGGGGGCTCTCAGAACAAAAAAGCTCCTCGCGGCGAGGCGGCCGTCCCCGGCGAGCGGGCCCCCTGCATCGGCTCTCTCTCTCTCTCTCTCTCGCCACCTTCGCTGTCCTCGTTCTCCTCCTCCTCCTCCTCCTCCTCCTCCCTTCTCCTTCTCCTCCTCCTCCTCCTCTCCTCCTCCCCCTCCTCCCTCCTCCTCCTCCTCCTCCTCCTCCTCCTCCTCCTCCTCCTCCCTTTCTTCTCCTCCTCCTATTCTTGGTCGTCCTCCTCCTCCCTCCTCCTCCTCCTCCTACTCCTCCTCCTCCCCACCACCTTGCTCCTTCCCCGAGGCAGGAGGCTCCCATCGGCGCTCCTCCTCCTCCTCCTCCTCCTCCTCCTCCTCCTACTCCTCCTCCTCCTCCTCCTCTCAACAGCTTCGTCGTCCTCCTCCCCACGACCTTCCTTTCAGTCGGGCGTGTTCCTCTACAGGAGGAAGTTTCAAAAATAGTCAAGAAATGGTCTGGGAACGGCGAGTTGCTGGCTGTTGCGATGGCCTCGCGGCCGGTGCCGCCGACCCGGAATGGCGACGTTTCTTGGCTAGTGTTGATTATCGTTGGAGCACGTCCGGAGCATGTTTTAAGAGTTGTGGTCCAAATTCCGCCTGCAGGGGGACACGCCCGACTCAAACCTTCCTCCCTCCCCCAGACAGGAGGGATGGGGAGGAGGATGAGGAGGGCTCGGAGGAGGAGGACCACTGTCAACCCAAGACGAAACAAAACGATGTTGCGATACGCCCTTCCTCCAAGGCAAGAGGCGATGTTCATTGCCCGAAGTGCCCCATTGAAAGACGATCGTCGGAGAATTTCAATCGTGCCATCTGATCACTGAATCACCATTCCCGTGATTTCGGCGCTGCGAATCAACGCGACTGTTGCGTTTTGGCAGTCTTAATTCGTGCCAGAACACCTCTCCTGGGAGTTCACACCACGAACCAGCTTGACGCTCGCCGTCTGGACCATCCTAAAACGTGCCAGAACGCAGCTCGTCAGACTTTAACCTTGCGAATCCCTGGAACTGCTGCAAACAGTGAAGACGAATGCACGCGGCGCTAAAGAGAGAGCCACATCTTGAAAAGGAACCGCCCTCCATCGTTGAAACTGCTGCACGCTTGTAAGACGAATGTGCGCGGCGCTACGGCGAGAGCAACAATTTGAAAACGGCCCGCCCTCGTTATTTGCATATGTTGCGAACTTTCAAGACGAGTGTGCGCGGCGCTACGGCGAGAGCCGCATTTTGAAAGCGACCCGCCCTCCATCTTTCAAATGGCTGAACATCGACGAAACACCCATTTACGCGGCGCTAAGGCGAGAGCCGCCTATTTGAAAACGACCCGCCTTCCATCATTGACACTTAGTCCAAGTTCAGACTTTCGGAGCATACGTGGTGAGGAAGTCTCAGGCGAAACGCCCAGCCCGTGCTACGGACACTTCTGGGGGTGCGACAGGGAGGAGTTTATTAGAAGAAGGGGATGGAGGAGGAGGAGGAGGGAGGAGGAATAGGAGGAGGAGGAGGAGGAGGAGGAGGAGGAGGAGGAGGAGGAGGAGGAGGAGGAGGAGGGAGGAGGAGTAGGAGGAGGAGGAGAAGGAGGAGGAGGGGGAGAGCGGGAGGAGGAGAAGGAGGGGGAGAGCGGGAGGAGGAGGAGGAGGAGGAGGAGGAGCAGACGAAGGGCGAGACGGTGGATAACCCCGTCTCATTTCCCGCCCGTTGCAGTCAAAGGGTGGCCTCGGCGCCTCAGCGCACACGCACAGCATGGCCCATTTCGAGCTGATCGATCCGATTCGGTGTCGATTCCGTCCGGATCGATCCGAGTCGACTCCAATCTTCCGACGGTTTGATGCATCGTGATGCTTGCATGTTGCTGTTGTGCATCCTGCGTGGCCGAGTCGATTCGCTACATTGAACATCGTGGAGGCCTCGCGCGGCGCGCAATACTTGCACATTTAGTCCACATCCGCCCCGTCAGATATGGGACGACGGTCGCACGAGTAGACGGGGTCGGCGGATCGCGCCGCATCGCCGACGTCACGCCGACGTCGCCAATGCATCGCCGACGTCGCCAGTGCATCGCCGATGCATCGGCGATGCGGCGAGACCCTCCGACCCCATCTACTCCGACTCCGTCTAGGGTTAGGTTCGGTTCGGCAATTCTACTACAGGAGGTCCATCGAGGAAAAACCATCCGAAGTCTTCAGAACATCTTCTGCAGGAAACTCAACCTCCCAAAATATTTCAAAGCATCTCTAATAGAACCCTACGGAAATCTCAAACCCGAAACAAACGTCAAAACATCTCTAAGCCAACACCTGCGAACATCTCAAACTTTAAAACAACGTCAAAACATTTAAGCCAACACCTGCGAAACTCTCAAACTCTAAAACAAACTTTCAAAACACTCTAAACCCAAGCGTGCAAACATCGCAAAGTTAAGCCGGGACTTGCAGTCAGAGTTGTTGTAGAGTCTTCCCAGAGTTTTGTTGTTGAGTTAGCCAGGCGGTCAGAAATGTGTTTGGAGTTTTTTTTTTCCGAGTTGTTCCACGGTTTGTTTAGAGCTCTGTTTAGAGTTGTCCAAGAGTTTTTGTTTTGTTTTGTTTTTGAGTTTTTAGGCGTTTATTGTTGTTATGAGTTGTTTAGAGTTTGTTGGAGTTTTTAGGCGTTTAGAGTTGTTGGTTTATAGCTGTTTCAGAGTTGATTGGGGTTTGTTTAGAGTTGTTTCAGAGTTCCGGATGTGCACTTTTTTTAGGTTTGAGATGTCCCCAGGTTTCGGCTTAGAGTTTTGCTTTCATTTGTTCTAGAGTTTGGGGTTTTCGCAGGTTTTGTATTAGAGATTCGTTGAAGTGTTTATAGAGTCTGAGATTTTCGCTGGTTTTGGCTAGGAGATGTTTTGAACTTGTTTGTAGAGTTTGAGATTTACGCAGGATTGGGCTCAGAGATGTTTTGAAGCTTTCTTTTCTGAGTCTGACCTTCCCGCAGGTTTTGGCTCAGAGATGTTGTTGCAGTTTTGTTTGAGTTTGAGCTTCTTCGTTCGATCTGGCGTTGGACCGCCTGTGGTCGCCATCGCCGAACCTAAATCTGGGGGGCCCCTCCAGGCTGAGCCTCGCACTCTCCCGCGCGGCGGTGCCGACGCCGTGGGGTCCGATCCTGGCGAACCGGGGCGGCATCCGGCTCTCGGCGGCGCCGTAGGCGGCGCGCGCGCCCGGGCCGTGGCGCGTCCTCGGCGCGCAGGCTCGGGCCGGCCGCCGCGGTCGTCCTGTGCCGGGGGGCCCCACGCGTCAAGCAGTGGCGAGGCGTCCCGGTGCTTGGCATCGCTCGGACGTGTGCATTTCTTCTCGGCGAGAACCATCGAGGACCATCCTGGACCCTCGAGCAAAAAAACACGCACGAAACCGAAACATGCACGGGAACTGTACGTCCGAGCGATGGCGAGGGGTGTCTCAGGGCTGGACCTAACCTGTTTTTTTGTTGCGATTTCGTGGGCCGTTTTCGGTCCGATGTCGTTTTGCGGTAAAAAGGCGGATGGAAGGGAACGAACACGAAAAACACCGTTTAGGTTCAGCCTTGGTGTGCCTATTGGCCTACCAAACACTGTTCTAAGAGCCTTTTTGTGGTCTGCGCGAAGTGTTCTCAGAACAGTTCTTGCAGGGGCTGTCCTGTTTCAGCACGTCGGGCTAATGTTCTAAGAACCTTGTTTCCTTTCTTAGAACATCTTCGTGCTCTAAGAACATGTCGTGGTAGGCCTGTAGATAGAAATGCCGGGACGGTCTGCCCCTGCTCAAACGCGGGTGCCCAGCTCGGCGCCAGGAAGACGTCCACCATTCCGCGGCGAGCGCGGGGGAGGAAGTGAGAAGGAGACGGCCCTCTCAGGAGGCGGCAGGACTTCTCAGAAACCCTCGCGCCTTCTGAGAGGTCGGCTGCGTCTTAGAGGAAGGCTCAGGAAACTTCTGAGATGTCCGGGGGACTTCCTTAGCTTCTTCTATGTGTCCCCTTCGCTCGCCGCCAAACCCTACTATGTTATGTTTGTCCGCCACTACGTCGCAAATGGTGGCCCAAGCACAATGTATATATTTGTTTCACCTGTCGCCCGAAGAAATGGCCAGATAATCATCTTCTGTACTTTGATATGTGTTTTTTTGCGAAGCCCCATGGGACTGGGCCCGATCACCTTGGTGTGTATACGCGCGGTTCCCAGCACTTCGCAGGTCTCTTTCCTTCTCATCCCTCCTCTTGCTCTTCCTTCGACGCGAATATCGATTCCTCCTTAGCAGACGGTATACATGGATGTACTCGGGCCCGTGAGGCGGGCTCATGCAAAAAGTACTGGGGGGCCACCGATGTGGTCTCCACAGCTCGGGACCACACACAATGTTGAGAATCATCCATGTTGGCATACATGAAGAAATAATGGCTAGGGCAAAGCTGGATACTACTCGCTACGGTGGGGACCAAAGGAAACCATTTGCTGTTCAATTATTGAATCGCTTCGCTCATTCCGCCGGCCCATAGTGTAGCGTCGCTGGCGCTTGCTTGCGTGCTTGGGGGGGCATTTGGGTGGCCTCCTGGGGCCGCTTGGGGGCCTCTTGGGGGCCTCCTGAGGGCCTGTTGGGGGCCTCTTGGGGCCTCTTAGGGGCCTCTTGGGGCCTCCTGGGGACTTCTGAGGGCCGAGGGCTCGAAATATTGTTTCGTGTTCCCCCCCTGGGGTCCCTCTTGGGGCGTTCTTGGGGCCCTCTTGGGCCGTCTTGGAGGCCTCTTGGGCCGTCTTGGAGCCCTCTTGGGCCGTCTTGGGGCCCTCTTGGGGGCCTCTTGGGCCCTCTTGGGGCGGTCTTGGGGGCCTCTTGGGCCGTCTTGGGGTGTCGTGAAGCCGAAAAGGTGGAAACGCCAAAATCTCTCCAAAACCTAAGGAAAAGCAGTGAATTTTGCCTCTTGGGGCCCTCTCGGGAGTGCTCTTGGAGGCCTCTTGGGGCGTCTGGGGGCCATCGTGGGCGTCTTGGAGCGATCTTGTGGCATCTCGGACCCCTCATGTAGCATCTTGGGGGCCTCTTGGAAGCCTCTTGGCCCTTCTTGGGGCTCTCGGGGACGTCTCGGAGCCGCGTTGGTGCGCTGCTGGAGCGCCCTGGTGACTCCTCCCGGGACTCTCTCGGGACCTTGCCGGGGTACTTTCCGCCCGGGGGCCCCCAGGGGCCGCCCCGCGCGCGCGAAGTAGAAAGATTGTAAAGCAGTCACCGGAGATCTTAGCACGCCTCTGGCCCGTTGGGCCAGCGAATTTCGGTCATGTACAGTCGGCCCTGATTAGTAAGTCGACCCTGCCAGCTCAAGAGTACCCTTGTGTCCTGTGTCGCGCGACCCGTGCCCTCTTACACTCCTATGGCAATGTGGCCCTCTGAAGGGTCTTATGTCCTGTCGCGTGTCCTCTCCAATCGAGTCCGACTGTATACAGAGACCGAATTGCCGAGCATCCTGTGCTGCGTGATCCTCGTTCTGAATCCTCAGCGCCCCGAGCTCCTCCTCCTTTCCCTCCTCCATCTTCTCCTCCTCCTTTTCCGCCTCCTGCTTCCCTCCTCTTCCTCCTCTTCCTCTTCTCTTCCTCCTCCTCTTCTCCTCCTCCTCTTCCGCCTCCTCCTCCTCTTTCGCCTCCTTCTCCTCCTCCTTCTCCTCCTCTTCCCCCTCCTCCTCCTCGTCTTTCTCCTCCTCCTCTTCCGCCTCCTGATTCCCTCCTCCTCTTCCTCCCCTGCTTGCCTCTGCCATGCGCCGCATGTCTTTACCTCTACACCACACTTTTCGTGGCCCCACCGGGAGCTTCACCCACGATTTCAGTGTGCCCTGCCGCATGAGGGGTCTTTTTCAATGGTTTTGTTGTTCGTCAGCGGTGAGGCGGCAAACTCTGCTCCAGCGAGAAGCTAGAAAGGGGCACTAACTAGCCAATTGGCCGGCGGGCAAAGAGGGGGGGGGGGACGGCCGAGAGGAAGAAGGGACGCTCAGACGTCGAAGAGTTCGACGATGAGCAGCCCGGGGGTGCACAACTTTTCATGTTAACACGCTTCTCCCACTTTTTGCTGCCCCATGCAGTCGGGGCCCTGAAGAAGGAACCCTCTTCGTTGGGGAGGGGCTCCGTGTTCCTTGATTGCTTCACAGTTTGCCTTGGGTTTTGCTTCGGTGTTCGATGGGAGATCGAAGTCCAACTCGTGGATCTAAGGGGCCTCGTTCCTTATCTAGGGTTCCTTGGGTCAACGCTCCGACTGTAGGGAGCTTCGCTTTCAGCACACCCCTGGCATGCCTCGCGGCCCCCTTATGGACCTCCGCCCACGGTGTCAGCGCGCCCGACCGCAGACCCGGCAGACCCCTCCACGTGCCGTGGCCGCGGGGCCCCCAAGGAATCCGGCACACCCCCTACCTCGGCATCGCTCGGCCGTGTGCATTTCTCCTTCGGCGAGGACCATCGAGGAGCATCCTCGATCATTTTGCGAACAAGCCACGCACGAAACCGACAAAAACACAGGAAGTGGACGTGCGAGCGATGGCCAGGCCACACGGTTCGTGGCCCCATAGAAGACGGCTCCACTTGCGGTCTCAGTGGGCCCGGCCGCACGGGGGGTCGCCGCTCAATTCGGCACACCCCTTAGAGTCGGCACGGCTTGTAAGGGCGACCGATGTTCCAAAGTTGCCTTTGCATCCTTCCCTTTCTGCCCATTCTCGGCCACTTTCGCTGGCCGCGCCCCGCTCGAAAGGTGTCGACATGGCAGTCCGAGGCCTTTGCACCCTTCTCGTGCATCTTTTCTGAGATGTTGACTTTGCATTTTTACGTACAGTGGGGGCGCGCATCAAGAAGCCAGATGCCTTTTCGTCAGGGCATCCTGGGTCTCTTCGCTCCTCGTGCTGCGCGGTGACTTCCCGCAGCCGTTGGAGGAGCTCCTGCGTTCAGGGTGCTCCAGGTTCTCTCTCAGGTGCTCCTCGCGCACGGGTTCTCAGGGTTGGGTTTTTCTGCGAGGGTTTCTTGCGACCGCGCCCGCACTGTATCCCTGTAGGGAGCTCACGGCGCCAATGGGCCCGACCGCATGGGAGTGTCCCCGATCATATCGGCACACCCCTCACACGTTCGTGGCCCCATAGGGCGCTCCACATACGGCCTCAGTGGGCCTCACCGCACCGGGTGTCCCCGCCCATTTCGGCACACCGCTTACACGCTCGGGGCCCCATAGGGATACCCATCCACAGTCTGAGTGGCAGGGCTCGCATGGCGCACCCGCCCCGAATTCGGTACACCTTGTCCCAAGCTTCACGGCCCTAATTGAAGTTTCACCAAAGGCCACAGCGACAGGATTCGCATGGCGCACCAGCCCCCAATGCGGCACACCCCTCACGCTCCGCTGCCCCATAAGGCGCTCCACCTGCGGCCTCAGTGGCAACATCCCTCATTCGTTTCGTTGCCTCACAGGGGTTTCCACCGAAGGCCCCAATGGCAGGCTTCGCATGGCGGTTCTGGCCCCCATTCGGGACATTCCTCACACGCTGCGTGGCCCAACAGGGAGCTCACCGAAGGCCTCGGTGGCGGTGTTCACATGGCGCCGCCCCAGGACTTGCGCGCATATCTGTCATTGTGTTCGCCCCCTCCTCAGTGCATCGTGGTACTTGCAGCTGCATGTGGTTGGGCCCTTCGCCAGCGTAATTCGCGGTAGCTTCGAGTATGCTGAAGACACATCGGAAACCATTGAACAGCGACCAACTACGATGTGCACAATCAGTGAACTCCATTGTTTTGAGAGCGTGATTTCGACCGTGATGTCGCGGTCTGCGTGAGGGTTTCGCCCGAATTTCACAAGCATGGGGATGCCCTGAGCGAAACGGCAGTACACGCGCGGACTCCTTCGGAGAGGTGCGTAAGATGATACACATGGCCATCGCCTAGCGAGATGCCCGAAGATCGATCCCCCGACTGGTGGTCATGGCCAAAACCCCGCCTCGTACTCCTCCTCTTCCTCCACCTCTGAATCCTTCCTTACCGTTCTCCCTCCGTCCTCTTCATCCCCGTCTCTCTCCTCGATGCTTGCCCTCCTCGTTGTCTTTCCACGCTCCCCCTCCATTCTCCTTTCCACCCCCCCACCTCCTCTCCATCCTCCCTCGGTCTCCTCCGCCTCCCCCCCTCCTCGCTGTCCGCCCTCTCCTCCTCCTGCTTCCTGCGTTGCTTCCTCCGTCGCCCTGCACTTCGTCCTCCCCCCTTGCCCCGTGTTCCCCCCTCGTCGCCCCGCCGCGCCTCCGCCCTCGATCCATCCCCGC